CCAACTCTTGGGCTCAAGCAAGTCTCCTGCCTCCGCCTCCCAAGTAGCTAGGACTACAGGTGCCCGCCATAACACCTGGCTATTTTTTGGTTGCAGCCATCATTGTTGTTTGGCGGGCCGGGCTGGATTTGAACCTGCCAGGTCAGGTGTATGTGGCTAGTGCCTTAGCCACTTGAGCCACAGGCGCTGAGCCTACACCAGTCTTTCTAACCTATTTTTTATCCATAGCTTTTTTGTTTGTTATCTATCATTTCTTTGCCAATTTTTCTACTAGTGTGTTTGTACTTTTCTTCTTGGTTTATAAGAGTTTTTTATATATTAAGGCAGTTGCCACTTTTATAAATCTTTCCCAAACTTATCATTTGCCTTTGAATTTACTTAAAAAAAAAAAAAACACATGAGATGGTGCCTGTGGCTCAAAGGAGTAAGGCGCTGGCTTCATATGTCAGAGGTAATGGGTTCAAACCCATCCCCGGCCAAAAACTGCAAAAACAAAAACCCTGGGCTCAGCGCCTGTGGCTCAAGTGGCTAAGGTGCCAGCCACAAACACCTGAGCTGGTGGGTTCAAATCCAGCCTGGGCCCGCCAAACAACGATGATGGCTGCAACAAAATATAGGTGGGCATTGTGGCAGGCACCTGTCGTCCAAGCTATTTGGGAGGCAGAAGCAGGAGACTCGCTTGAGCCCAGAAGTTGGAGGTTGCGGTGAGCTATGATGCCACAAAACTCTACCCTGGGTGACAGCATGAGGCTCTGTCTCAAAAAAAAAAAAAACACAAAACTCTGACTTGGCGCCTGTAGCTGAAGCGGCTAAGGTGCCGGCCAGCCACATACTCCAGAGCTGGGGGGTTCAAATCCAGCCCAGGCCTGCCAAACAATGACAACTACAATCAAAAAATAGCTGGGCATTATAGTGGGTGCCTATAGTCCCAGCTACGTGGGAGGCTGGGGCAAGAGAATTGCTTAAGCCCAGGAGTTGGAGGTTGCTGTGAGCTGTCACACTACGGCACTCTACCCAGGGCTCAAAGGAAAAAAAAAAAAACCCTTGCACTCGGCTCCTATAGCACAGTGGTGAGGGCGTCAGCCATGTACCAAGGTTGGCGGATTCAAACCCAGCCCGGGCCTGCTAAACAACAATGACAACTGCAACAACAACAACAACAAAAAAAA